AGCGCGGCGAGCAGAGGTGGCAGGGTGACTCCGGTATGATGGCGGCGGGCGAGAGCAGCGGCGGGCGAAAGCAGCGGTGCCCGCGGGTGCGGTGCCGTCACTCCTCAGCGCGGCGGCTGCGGCAGTGACGCATGTGCTCGTGGCGGCAGTGGCGTGGCCCCCACACCTGGCCCGCCGAGCATGGACTTGATGGTCCCGGAGACCATCGCCGCCTGCCGGTCGAGGATAATCTCGGTGCCGTCCGACGCGATAAGCTTGACCGGGTCCATGGCCGCGGCTTGATCGTTGGGCTCGGGCGCCAGCGCCCGTTTCAGAAGAATTTACACTCGAAGAAGAATTCTCGCAGCGCATCTCCGAGAAATGGGAAGAACTCCCAATCGCTCGTTTGGGTTTGTTTGTTTTCTTTCTTTCTTTCGACAAGGGAAGAAGCTTCTGAGCATTACAGGTGACATGCCTTCCTCCATTTTTTATTTTCTTTGTATATGTTCCTCTCTTCACACACATCCTCTTACCACTTACGCACTAGAAAAAGAAAACATCGGGCGGGATGGGAGGACGGCACGCCGCCAAACAACTCTCTCTCCGCCACCCACCTCTCTCGCTCGCCGCCACCACACAGGGACCACAAATGACGTGTGAGTGTTAGAGTTGTTTGGAGCGCAGAGACCTGAAACGGTCCGTCGACAAATTCGAAACGTCCGCAGCACCCGCCGAATTCGAAACGTCCGCAGCTCCCGCCGATCTCCCGCTAACGGATCTTACGCCGCCTGTAACCTCTCTTTAAGGTATTGCTAAAAATCTCTCTCACAGGGATCTTAAGGAGAGGGGTGTGATGCGCTAGCCGTCGCCCACCCTTGGGCGTCCGCCTCTTCCTATCTCTCTTCGCAGCCTCTCGCCGATTCTCGCTGCGACCTGCAGGCCACCTCGCGGTCGTCCCACTCTCGTCATTCTCTCCCTTGTCGCTTCTTCCTCTGTCGCGTCGCTCTCCTCTGCTTCGTTCTGCGACGCCGCCGCCGCCTGCCGGTCCCTTGTTCTCGCGGTTGTTGCGGAGGACTTCGTCGCAGCTCCGC